AGTGTGACCGATTCAATTTACCGTCAGACCCTCCAAAATATACCAAAGTTACTATCTAATTTAAAACAAATTTGACAAACTATCGATAGGCTGAATGTGGCATAGATATTTATCGACAATGTTGAAATTTAAATATTTTCCTGTGATTTCCTGTGGGCTTTTAGAAGGCCAAGACCATGCTTCATTAAGCTGTTGAGATGGCTACCATAAGAAATGTATCATATTGTCTCATTCTATCTACTTCCTACGGTGTATTTGAGTCGGAGAAGGTGCTTATGGCATCGGCATAGCGGCGCATCATCATGTAGGCAAAGCCCACGTAATATGAAGTCGATATCTGACAGGCTGGTTTGTGCGAGTAGGCAGATTTCTTGTGGATCTCAATGGGCTCCAGCACCTCCAGCACCGCCAGCACGACCAAATAGGGTGGTTTTTGTGCATAGTTAGAGTACAAAAAATGTATAAAATTTTTCGAAGAATATGCACACTTTAATGTTTTCCCCAAACCAGACCATTTTCTACTTCATTACTACGAACTGGTGCCACAGACAATAGCTACCCTTGGAGGTGATGCAGAACTCATCACAAACTGTTAACGCATTCTCCAACAACAGCATCAACCAACAGTGACTGGAAATACCATGTGGAGGGTATACTCCAGGCAGAGAAAAAGCAGAGGCTGCTTAATAAGCGAGAATAAGAGCTATGAGAAGAAACCTATCGTAACCGGCATCGCCATGACGTCATTTACAAGGATTTAAACAAATCATTGGCATGTATGGTATATATCCGTTCATCCGGGAGAGCGACTGGCATGAACGAATTTCCCTGCCCGTTTAGACACAGGAGAGAATATCCCTGACCGTTTAAAAACAAATTGAGAAATGGCTCCCGAATAACGATTTTTAAATAACAGCAATTGAAATTTACCTTGAGCTACTATATGGCTACCTGTGGTTGACGTCTACCTTCCTAAAGAAAACCCTTCCTTCAGATGATTAGTTAGACGATAAAGATGATATTTCGATAATATTGGAGTATATCCAATCCCTAAAACTGATTCTATCCATACAAAATTTGATTTTTTTTTTTCTCTGTTGCGAGCTAAAACATTTTCAATGTTATAAGTCATCCAAAATGTAATATTTTACTTATGTATTTACATACTGAAAAGATTTACCGAACAAGAGTCAATACTCTGAAATCCACCTACAAAAACCATGAAAAACCATGCAGTTTCTTTACCAATATAAAAAATTATCAATAGTCAAAATCCTAATCTAAGAAACAAATTGATGTGATTTCGGCAAAGCTTACCGGGCACGAGCCTCCGCTGCAAGGTCACAGGCGTTGGGCCTCCTGCACTTTATCCCATGCCTGACTCTCTAGCAGCTTCTTGGCGATCTATAATCATATCTGTAATTAATGTGATGATAAATCTCTAAATTTTACTTATCACTTTTTTACCTATGTTGTACATATGTATGTATGTACATCTTTCTAGATATCGGTTGTTTCCATCTTTGGAGTGGACCAGTAGTCCCTCTACCAGGAAAGCTTAAAAAAAGTTTTCCATTTCGGTTTTGGTTTGGTTTGTGGCGTTGGAGCGTTTTTCAAAAATTGTGCGGGTGCACCTGTTTTGCATATGTGTCAGGCAAAAACAATATTAACAAGCGACGCCAGTTAGGTTAACATACCAAATTGTGGTAATATTTAAATGTTATTTCTTAGAATCAAGCTCAAATCGAAAATCAAAGTTTCTGGTGGCTTTAATCAGACTAATCTTTAATCATTGTATTATGTTGTAATAGTTCAGCGAAATATCTGGCGATAACGTTTAAACATAAGAAACAGTTTAATTATTGCAGAAAATGTATTCAGTAATCGGTTAAAATTATATTATTATATATTATTAGAGTCACAATATTACTTCAGTATTTGGTATGTTTACGGTATATATTCAAGATGAGAAGGTTTATTTTGGTATATTTCTGAGGGCCATGTGGTATTGATACGATAAGTCCGCGGTCACACAGGTCGGGAGCAGTGCTGCTAACTCTTCGGCTCAAAAGAAAGCCTTTGAAAAAGGCTAGAAAAAGCGAAACAAATTTAAATGTCACCTATAAAGAGAGCGCTAGAGTAGTGAAACGATATTTTTATAGATTTAATATAATATTTTTGATAACTTATCAAGCACGTCAAACAAATCGTATTTTGCAGCCGAATGTAAATCTGTAAATTCTTAAATATACTGCTGGCACTTCATAATTATGACAGCATTTATATTCCCGGTGAAATCCATATCAACAATGATGATACAGAGAGAGATGCAACAACCGGTATATTATTCGTCTATGCAAAGGCAGATGACATTGACTTATGTTTGGCTGTCCTAGCATCAGCCACAAAAGCAGCAAAATTTTTGAATGTTTCATAAATTGTTATCGATCTTTTGTTTTTTATTCAAATGGAAAAAGTAATACAGATGTTTTGGAAAAGTTAAATTCATTTTAACCTTTTTTGTTTAGCAAATAGCTGTAATTCCCGCTAGCCGATAGTTTACATCCGCATTAATCATATAAAAAACGCTTGATTCAGTCGGAAAATAGCTACATTTGCAACACTGATTATCGTCTCTCACTGTTTCTCACTCATTCATTCTTATTCGTGTAAACGTGTTAGTGTGTTCGTGTGTCATCTCAGCGTTAATTATTTCTGATTCAAAGAACGAAGAGGGCGTGAGTTGTAGGAGCCGAGCCGCAGAGCAACAGTCTTGTTAAAAGTAAATTTGTGAACATCTAAAAGACAACGTTGCCAGAAATTGTTGGCGTACGCGTTTCCAGTGCCCAGCCCACTCCACCGTGTGTTTGGGGTCGGGACTGCCAGCGCAGTGCATTTGGCTGCAGTGAATTCGTGAAGCACGGAATACAGATATAAATGTGTTTGTAAATCGGTTGCCGTGAATTCCCACCACACAGCCAGAATGAGGCAGCCCAAATCCTCCCCAGAAGCGATTCCATTGTGCCTACTCCTCCTCCTGCTGGCCAACAGCAGCCTGAGAGCTGTACAAGCAGGTTAGTCCAGTGCATAATTGTTAACCATGAATGAATGTTCATTCGTTTTGTAGAGTTTTATTGGAAAAAACGCCCTGATAGTTGCATAAAAAACAATTGTTGTTTGTAAGCCAAAATTTGGGCGTGTTCCCTAAGCTGAAGACTCGCTCTTCGTCACTTCCATTTTTCTTTCAACTCGCTCTTTCGATCGCAAGAGAGCGAGAGAGAGGGAGAGCGCGAGAGCACGAGAGCACGATCACAACAAAACCGCCGACTAGCAACAACTCGGTTACGTTTGAGCCGCACTAAAAATTCTCTTTCTTATTGGGTGCATGGGAACAATTCGAATTTGCCGGTCGGTGGGTCCTTTGGTTGAATGAAGGATGCCGCATCACTGCAAGGACGCATCTTCCGGTGGTTTCATTGCGCATGCGACAGATTACGCAGCCTGCTTCCTGGTTTCTGCCTGCCTCTCGTGTTGGCACGTGCTGTTGGCGTGGGGGCATCGCTCCAGATGTCAACAGAGCGAATTACCAACAAAAAATTGGTGGGGTCTGGAAATACTCTTTCTCCTGGTTAATAGAGCTGTTGAGCTTACAAATAAACAACTCGAGAGTTCAGATGCAAACATTTTTATGACTAAAAATAAACAATTTCCTCGCAATTAATTGCCAATTTCCCCCTCGCCAGCGCCTTATATTGGGAGCAGCGTATAGAGCAGACATCCAGCCGGATAGACATGCCCGTCCCGTCCGAAGCGTTGATAAGTTATTTCTGTGCTTGGCCTGTCCGCGCCATCATTCGCACTCTGCGTTTCTAGATCGGCGGAAATTGCTTTTTCCCATCGGTCGCATCATATTTATTTCATTAAGAACATTAGCCAGAATTTCAATTTCCATTGTGATTAGATATTCCCCATAAAAAAGCACACGTTGGGCAATTATGTTAGACCATTCCGAGGAATGTCCATCGAAGAAGGACAAGAGAAGGCCGAAAAGTAGTTCATAGTAGCACTGCCCCAATATTGATTATTTACTCGGGGCGGAGATTGTCGTGCGTGTCCCCGCTTTTATAGCTAATCATTGTGGATTTCCACGGCTCAAAGTCGGCTTAAAGTGTACATGAACTCTGGATGGGATGGGATGGCTCGGCCCTTGTAAGGGTTGTTTTTCCCCGTCGTGGCCTTGTTTACCTAGGAGCTGCACCCATCTACTGCCTGGGGGTTGGTTGCTGCAACAACAGAACAACGCAGTCCTGTCTGATGTCTGTGTTAGGATTTCCGTCTGCTTTCTTCACTTGTTCCACCATCTAAGTGGGCACTTTGCATCTGCATCCGAAAGAGTGTCGTCCCCACAATATTATGGTACAAAGAAGAGACAGGAATCTGTTTTCCTTTCATGGCTGCATCGATAAATATTTACCCTCTAGTCGTTGTTTATTATTCCTGTGGCCTTATTTATGATGACCATAAAAAGCTAGAAGGCCAGGAACCAGGCCGAAATAAAGTACTTGAAATTCTTGGCCGCTGTCCAAACATATTGTTCGCATCTCAATTTAATTTGCGCCTGTGACAGTTTCAAACACAATGTATTTATTGTATTTATGGGTCGAGCGAGAGAGTATGCACATACCAATGAACAGTATTCCCTTTCAGATGCGTTTACCGACTACTTCTCCGACTATGAGTGCAATCAGCCGCTCATGGAAAAGGCCGTGCTGACCGCCACTTCATCGCTAGGGGAGCGCGGGCCAGAGAAGGCGCGCTTAAATGGTAAGTTTTGTTTACAAGTTAATTTATTATTTGCTTCTATTTGGTTTGATTGATTTCCACGCTTTAGTTACCGTTGAAATTTAGTTTTATTAGGCTGTTCTGTTGATTACACCCCGTCTACCTTTTACAGTATTTTTATAGTGTATTTTTAAAAAGTCCATAAAGTGGTATATTTAAGCTTTCCCACTACGGGCATACTGAAGCAGCAGATCAAGCGAAAACTTTTTTTTATTTGCTAAAACTACCAAGAAAACTCCCAAAATGAGGGTACAATCAATTAGATAGTTCTGTAAAAACAATTGACTTATCCACACTAAACTGCCATCCCGATGAGCAGACACGTTTGCACCCGCTGGGCCTTCGATCTGGGCACATGGACGCCCACGCTGCCGCAGCTGACGCAGGCGGTGGCAGCGATACAGCCCGAGGAGCGCACCCGCCTGATGAAGTTCCACTTCATTGATGACTTTTTGTCGTCGCTAATTGGTCGGCTATTAATGCGTAAATATGTGAGCGTGTGCACATCCACTGCCTACCATCAAGTGAAATTTGCTCGCGACGTGCGCGGCAAGCCCTACTGGGTGCGAGGGCAGAGCGAGTCGCCACCACTCAGCTTCAATGTCTCGCACCAGGGCCAGCTGGTGCTGCTGGCTGGTATCACCACCAGTGCGCCAGTGGATGGCACTGAAACTGCGGATACGGAGGCGACGGACTTTGGCATTGGAACGGATGTCATGAAGATCGAGTATGGTGGTGGCAAGTCCCTGTCAGACTTCTTTCGACTCATGAAGGGCAAGTTCTCGGCTCAAGAGTGGAGCTATATCGGCCGCCCACAGCACAATGAATCCGCCCAACTGAAGGCATTTATGCGTCACTGGTGCCTGAAGGAGGCCTACGTTAAAGAGCTTGGCGTAGGCATCACAGTGGACCTGGAGAAGATCAGCTTCTCTGTGGACACCACCCATTCGCTGGTGGGGGCCGTCTCCCCGCTGACCGGCACCACACTGCGCTGCAACGACAAGCCCATGGACAACTGGCACTTTGAGGAGCACCTGCTGGAGGAGAAATACTGTGCTGCCATCGCATTCCGCAACTGCCTGCCCCAGGATCACAGCAGGTTCGAGATGCTGCGCTTCGATGAGCTGTTTGCAAAGAGTGCAGACGCTGCCGAGCTGGACAGCAGCCTGGTGGCCTTCTGCAAGGAGGCGCTTCTGAAGCCCCACAAGAGCGATCGCTAACTGAGGATATTTGTGTTATCTATAGAATAAATCTAGATCTATGTTCTAAAATATCCTTCTAATCTCTGCTCGTTGGCAATTGTTGTGCTGCCATGTCCTCCCCTCCTGCCGCGTTTCTCGGTTACTCGGTTTGTTTGCCTGATATTGGAATAACAAAATAGAACAAAAAGCAGTCCGGAAATGTGCCTCACAGGCAATAAACCCAAATTCGGGGACCCGTAATGGGCCTCAGACAGGAGCCAGACACCAATCGGATGTTTGTTTGTTCGTTTGGTGGGTAAATTTATGCGCCAAGCAGGACCCGGCAAGGGGGGTAGTTCGTTTATTTTTGGCATTCCCGGAATGCCTTTCAAAGTTTTATCGATGCTAGGAGCGGGGCGACTGCTGCGGTTACCAGCGCTTAAACGAGCGAAACTTTCATGCGGCATTGACCGAAGTACTCTAAGAATTGGAATGGGCATCGAATACTTCTCTGTGTGCAGTTCGCTGCGTTCTCACACTATTTTGTCACACCTGCTTGGCAGAATTTGGCGCGCGGTTTGCAATTAAAACAAAGCCATCCGTCTCTAACTGCTGTTGCAATTATATATGCTTGCCCATTATATGTGCAAACGTCCTGCCCATTTAATGTTGGCACCAACTCAACCCTCAACGATTACAAATATCCATTTTTGGCAGGGGTTGAACCCTTGCTCTCCTACGACTGATTTGAAGGACCTTTTGGGTTGCAGGAGGGACCACTTGCAGCTGTCAATCGGTCTCGCCCCGTAAATTATAGTTTATTAATGGGAACATACCCCCGAGCGGTATATTTTAAACTCTTCGCAGTCCCATTTGTTGTATACTTTAAGTGGATTTTGATTTGTTTTCGTTTTTAATTTTATCGTTTATGTTTTATTGCTGCTGCTACTCCTTAATCCATGACCTGAAGCTGGCACTTCGTGGTCGGCCAAGAACTCGGACTTTGATCAGCGTTTGATCATTGACTTGGGTAATGTGCGTAATGTCACGCACATAGCCCTGCAAGGACGTCCTCATAGTAATGAGTACGTGACAGAGTACACGATAAGCTATGGCATAACCGATCTAGAATTTGCCGACTATAAAGAGCCTGGCGGCAATGTAAAGGTAAGCCCCAGAGGCAGTTCCTCTCTCGCTCTCTTAACAAAAATGAATGACTCTCTAATCTCATAATGGAATGGTGGTTGGTGTTAACTGGTGACTGGGGGAAACTCCTCGCTCCTCGGATTATCATATTTGCTATCCATTAACATTTTTGTTTGCTTTTGTGCTTGTATTTTTTTTTGGTTTTGGTTATGTTTTTGTGGCATGTAATGTAGCACTATCCTCCCCTATTCTCCTCACTCTTAAACACTGCAACTAACGTGCACCTAATGCTGGTACAGGGAACGCTGCTTGGACACCGGTTGAAAATACCTATAACCACTTTCTAACACTCGATCTGGGAGAGGCAAGCATGGTGCGCAAGATCGCCACCATGGGACGCATGCACACGGATGAGTTTGTAACGGAGTACATTGTCCAGTACTCGGACGATGGCGAGTTCTGGCGATCGTATGTGAATCCCACAAGCGAGCCGCAGGTACGGTGACTAATCCTAGGCCCAACTAATCAATTAACAATTAACCTCAACAATGTTTAGACGATGTTTGACGAGACTTACTCCAAAATGCCACTTTAGTCTAGAATTAATATGTGTTCTCTATACAACTACAGATGTTTAAGGGCAATTCCGATGGCAATTCCATACACTACAACGTGTTCGAGGTTCCCATCATAGCCCAGTGGGTGAGGATAAATCCCACGCGCTGGCACGATCGCATATCCATGCGCACGGAGCTCTACGGCTGCGACTACAGTAAGTCCTGAGCTTTAAACAACTAAATCAATCCCATTCATCTCCATTCTCTTCTTGTTTCCGTTACAGTTTCGGAGAATCTGTACTTCAATGGCACAGGTCTAGTGCGCTATGATCTGCGACGCGATCCCATTGCCTCGACCCGCGAGTCGATTCGCTTCCGCTTCAAGACGGCTTTCGCCAACGGCGTGATGATGTACTCGCGCGGCACCCAGGGCGACTACTACGGACTGCAGCTGAAAGACAACAAAATGGTCCTGAACCTGGACCTGGGATCGGGTCTGATGACCTCTCTGTCGGTGGGCAGCCTGCTTGACGACAATGTGTGGCATGATGTCGTAATTTCGCGCAACCAGCGGGATATAATCTTCTCGGTGGATCGCGTCATAGTTCGCGGGCGCATTAAGGGCGAGTTCAGTCGACTCAATCTCAACCGTGAGCTATATCTGGGAGGCGTGCCCAATGTCCAAGAGGGCCTCATCGTCCAGCAGAACTTCTCTGGCTGTTTTGAGAACATTTACTTCAACTCGACCAACTTTATTCGTGGTATGAAGGACAGCTACGAGCTGGGCGAGGCCTATCTTTACCACAAGGTGAACACTATTTTTGCATGCCCCTCGCCGCCGATCTATCCGGTGACGTTCACCACACGCGGCTCCTTTGTGCGGCTCAAGGGATACGAGAACTCGCAGCGTCTGAACGTTTCGTTCTACTTCCGCACGTACGAGGAAAGCGGTGTTATGCTCCACCACGACTTCTACTCTGGAGGCTACATCAAGGTCTTTCTCGAGTTTGGGAAGGTCAAGATCGATCTGATGGCCAAGGACAGACCCCGCATTATTCTCGACAACTACGACGATCAGTTCAACGATGGCAAGTGGCACTCCTTTGTGCTCTCCATCGAGCGCAATCGTCTCATCCTGAACATTGACCAGCGGCCGATGACCACGACCAAGAACCTGCAGATAGCCACTGGAGCGCTGTACTACATAGCGGGCGGAAAGGAGAAGAACGGCTTTGTGGGCTGCATGCGTCTCATCTCGGTGGATGGAAACTACAAACTGCCCCAGGACTGGGTTCAAGGAGAGGAAGTTTGCTGTGGTGACGAAGTGGTAGTCGATGCCTGCCAAATGATCGATCGCTGCAACCCGAATCCGTGCCAGCACAAGGGTGTGTGCCACCAGAATTCGATGGAGTTCTTCTGCGAATGCACCCACACGGGTTACGCAGGAGCTGTTTGCCATACTTGTAAGTGGCATGCAGACAATTGGGATTCTGCAGCTGCAGCGTGACATTCATTCAATCTCCCTCTTTCAGCAAACAATCCATTGTCCTGTCTGGCACTCAAAAATGTCCAACATGTGCAGCAGCGGGTGAACCTCAATCTAGATGTGGATGGCAGTGGTCCACTGGAGCCCTTCCCCGTCACATGCGAGTTCTATTGTAAGTGGTACACTGTTGAGTCCCAGTTTGCTCTATTAATGGATTGGCTATCGGTGGTTTCTTTCAGCGGATGGTCGCGTCATCACCACGCTGAGCCACAGTCAAGAGCACACCACCACTGTGGATGGCTTCCAGGAGCCGGGCTCCTTCGAGCAATCCATTATGTACGATGCCAATCTACTCCAAATCGAAGCCCTGCTGAATCGCTCTCATAGCTGCTGGCAGCGTTTGAGCTACTCCTGCCGCTCCTCGCGGCTCTTCAACTCGCCTTGTAAGTACCTTTGTCGCTATTGCGATAATTGATGCTGATTTATCATGTTCTTCCGTCCTTCCTCGCACACAAAGCTGAGGCTGGAAACTTCCGTCCGTTCTCATGGTGGCTCTCGCGCCACAATCAACCAATGGACTACTGGGCTGGCGCGTTGCCTGGGTCGCGTAAGTGCGAGTGCGGCATACTGGGGAAGTGCCATGACCCCACCAAGTGGTGCAACTGTGACTCCAATTCGCTGGAGTGGATGGAGGACGGTGGCGACATCCGGGAGAAGGAATTCCTGCCAGTGCGAGCGGTGAAGTTCGGGGACACGGGCACTCCGTTGGACGAGAAACAGGGCCGCTATACGCTCGGGCCCCTGCGTTGCGAGGGCGATGATCTGTTCAGCAATGTGGTGACCTTCCGTATTGCCGATGCCTCCATTAACCTGCCACCCTTCGACATGGGCCACTCAGGCGACATTTACCTAGAGTTCCGCACCACGCAAGAGAACTCGGTACTCTTCCACGCCACTGGCCCCACGGACTATATCAAACTGAGCTTGATTGGCGGCAACAAGCTGCAGTTCCAGTACCAGGCAGGCAGCGGCCCACTAGGTGTTAATGTCGGGACAAGCTATCACTTGAACGACAACAACTGGCACACGGTGAGTGTGGAGCGCAACAGAAAGGAGGCCCGGCTGGTGGTAGACGGATCCATAAAGGCGGAGGTTCGCGAGCCGCCGGGCCCAGTGCGCGCCCTCCATTTGACCTCCGATTTGGTGATAGGAGCCACCACAGAGTACCGAGACGGATATGTGGGCTGCATACGCGCCCTACTGCTCAACGGAAAGATGGTGGACCTCAAGGAGCACTCCAAGCGGGGTCTGTACGGCATCAACTCTGGCTGTGTTGGTCGCTGTGAGTCGAGTCCCTGCCTTAACAATGGCACCTGTATCGAGCGCTACGATGGCTACAGCTGCGACTGCCGTTGGAGCGCATTCAAAGGACCCATTTGCGCAGATGGTGGGTGCTTCTAGCAGGCAGTCATTTGAACATATCTAATTGAAATTGTTTGCTTGCAGAGATTGGTGTCAATCTGCGTTCTAGCTCGATCATTCGTTACGAGTTCGAGGGCTCCTTCCGCTCCAGCATTGCGGAGAATATTCGCGTTGGCTTCACAACGACCATTCCCAAAGGCTTCCTACTGGGATTCTCTTCAAATTTGACTGGAGAATATTTAACCATACAGATTTCTAATTCCGGTGCGTAGATGAAGCTTTGAAACTCTTTCGTGTAAGCTAAAATCATGATCCTCTCGCCAATCCCCTTGCAGGTCACTTGCGCTGCGTCTTTGACTTTGGCTTTGAGCGGCAGGAGATCATCTTCCCAAAGAAGCACTTTGGGTTGGGCCAGTACCACGACATGCGCTTCATGCGCAAGAATGGCGGATCCACAGTGGTTCTGCAGGTGGACAATTACGAGCCCGTGGAGTACCACTTCGACATTAAGGCGTCAGCCGATGCCCAGTTCAATAACATCCAGTATATGTACATTGGCAAGAACGAGTCCATGACCGATGGCTTCGTCGGCTGTGTCTCACGTGTACAGTTTGATGATATTTATCCGCTCAAGCTGATGTTCCAGCAGAATCCGCCGAAAAATGTCAGGTCAATGGGCAGTAAGTAGTCAGAATATAAGTGTTTTCTATCCCCACAATTTACACAGATTACCACCTTCTTCGTTGTAGCACAACTGACAGAAGATTTTTGCGGCGTTGAGCCTGTGACGCATCCGCCCATCGAAATCGAGACCCGACCACCACCTCTGGTTGATGAGGAAAAGCTGCGCAAGGCCTACAACGAGGTGAACTCTGTGCTGCTGGCATGTAAGTGCATGATATTTCTTCCAAAGATTACCAGCGGACTCATGGCTTAACTTGTATAAATTGATAGGTCTGCTTGTGATTCTGTTCCTGTTGCTGATACTAATGTTCTTCCTGATCGGCCGGTATCTGCACCGACACAAGGGCGACTATTTGACGCACGAGGATCATGGAGCCGATGGCGCAGATGATCCCGATGACGCAGTCCTCCACTCGACCACTGGCCACCAAGTCAGAAAGCGAACAGAGATCTTCATCTAATCCAGTCGCAAGAATGCACACAAATCATTTTACAAATCGCCTTAGACAAGCAGAAGACTCACCAAAAACAAAAACTAAAAAATTAAAAAAAACGTAATGAAAACTCAAAGGAATATACGGAAAAGGCTCACCAACATCATTGAGACTTTTTCACGCACTGCCAGCCAGCCTTGTATATGATTTTTTGTTTTTGTTTTGAAGCTGGTTATTTAAGTTTTATTCTTTGGTTGTTTAACGGCACCTTACCTTTACCCTTACACCACTCTCACTTTTGGAAAACACTCTCAATAGTCAGAAAACCGTCCATTTTTTTTAGTTCATTTTATGAACACATTTTTGTTTGCGAAATTAAGTTAAAAACTTGTATTTTAAGTTTACCGCAACCAGTCAATTTTTGATAGTATGACGCGTATGGCGAGATGCATACATACATACATGTAAAGATGAACATTCCATTATTCTCTAATTCATAATTAAATATGTCTTCTAATTTACACACAAAAGAACATGTGAATCGAATCGTTCTGTGGCTAAACAAAATCTGCTACTTTAAATAAAAATCGAAAGGCAAATTGTATTTTTGGAAAATGCAGTTTTAACGTCTTAAACTTTGAATTTGCAAACCTAGATTATAGAACTATATTATATACATTAAAAAAAAAACGAGACACTGAAAGATTACAATTTTTAATTTCAGTAAAAGATAACTATAAACAATTAAAAAGGTGTTTTTTGTACTTACCATTTTATCGGATGCTAGGGAAACTACTGCATTTTCAGTCACTTAAAGTTTATTCAATATAATCTTGTATACTAAAATATATATATATATATAGATGTGTGGTGTATATGTATAGGCTATTCCAAATTTTTTTTTTTTGATTTCCTTGTAACAATATCGTTTAACACTAATTTTGATTACTACGATTGGGGTTTTTGTTGTGAGGCCTATGTATCTACGAGATGTATTGAAATATTTGGGTTGCCATATGGATCGACATGTATAACATTGTTAGCATTATTATCGAACAACAGTCGTAAGTCACACACATAACATGTTAAGGTAGATTAATAATTCATCGGGTGGGGTGTATCCACATCCACAATTCATCGTTGTTCGCTTGTATAATCAATGGCACTACACTAGGTATATACGCACAAGTGGCACACTCAGTCACATGTTCTTCACATGTTCGTTGTTTCTAGAGGGGGGGGCTACACTTACACTCGAATCTAGGATCTCTATGCTATTTATTGTACGCTTAAACCTATGCCAACTATGGGATTATGATTTAACTCAACATCAACATCGGTCAACATTGTTTCTAAATGGAAGATTTCTGTATTGATTATGTACCTTGATTATTATGGTGATTATGCTTATCGATATGCTTCATCACTGCTTAAAAAAAAACAAACAAAACTCACGACAGAAAAAACTATCACAAATGGTAAATGAAAATACAAAATTCTACAGGAATCGGGACGTGTTTGCGCCCTGCACTTACTGCCAAGTGCTGCATATTGTCCTCGTCAATCCACCTCGATCCGTGTCCGTGTCCGTGTCCATCTATCTGTCCCTAGTTGTGGACATTGCCACTGGCCAGCTTTCGATATCGGTTCAGCAGCTGCACCGCTGCATCCTGCACGGGCTCGATCTTGCCGTGCGTCTCCTCGTAGGCGTCCAGCAGAATTCGCTCTCACAAAACCGTGCAGAGAACAAAGAGCAGTGAAACGAGGCAGAACATGGCCACGATGTCGCGATGCAGCTTCCGATCCCGATAGAACGGCCGAGTCGAGTAGCTCTCGCGTCGCGTTTGGCGGAGCAGCCACACCGGTACGAAGAGCTGCAGTAGATCGGGCACCATGAATCCAATGTCCCGGACTATCTGGTGGGCGTAGCCCTCACCTCGCACTACGTTCAGGAAGAACTGGTCGAAGCTGCTGGCGAGGATGTGCAGCAAGGCGATACCAACAATGCAGAAGACCTTCTTCGGTGTGACGACGTTCGTGGTGCTGGCCAGGTGCATCACCAGCACTGTTGAAAACAGTTCGGTAATCTGTAAAAGTGGGTAGCATATTAATGCATTATAAAAATACAGTAGACTTTGAATAATTTTTCGACTCGGAAGTTAAAGTTCTTTGAAAAGAAGCTACTCTAAAAGTCAGGTCGAAGCGGTGTACCGTGAATATACGCAGGCGTTTAAAGGTAACGACGGAGTGGTGTTAACATATGTAATATATGTACAGATGGAAATTAAATGGGTTACTTTAAGCTTTCAACTACGAAATATAGTACTTATGTATAATTGTTATGAAACGAGAAATCGGTTAAATTGAGAAAATCTAATCTCGCATCGGATTAACGATGGTAGAAAACACATTTCCATTATTTTTTCTAGGTCAACCCACTCATTTTTCACCCTACGCTCGCATTCCGGGAGTCGTGAATTGCTCATTAACAGGGGGCAAACTTTTGAGTTTCTACTTTTGCGAGGATAGATTTGCACTTGAAACTTATTACCTTGCAGTCGCAGGGCCTCTGTTTTGCAGTGCTATCATCTGCCCCGTGAGCGCCCACCAGCGTCTAGTTCGGGACAATATTGTGGATGGGACGAGGGGACGAGGATATTGTCCAAGTTTAGAGCGTTCGCAATCGAACGAACTTTGGCAATAAATTATGGATGGCTGGTGGTGCGGCATTTAGCTAAGGCCAGGGCACATATGAATGTATGTATGAAAGCACAACGGCATGTTCCGCAATATTTGACTTTGAAAGTTGCGTGCTCACCGTGAAGAAGAGCTGGTGGTTCCACTGGTTGTAGTAGTCATCGTTATAGTAGTTGATGTACGCCCACCAGGCGTAGTAGTGCGAGAAGATGGACAGCAGGAAGAGCAACAGCATCGAGTAGCGCACGCGGCTCTGCAGGATCAGGGCGATGAGTCGCTTGATGCACTCGTATAGGGCAATCACTGCGAAGACGGTCAGTATCCACATCTTGAAGCTGTTGGGAGTGGCATTGAAGTACATGTGCTTGTAGGCGGCCACCCCCGACTCGTACGGGCCCTTGAACACTGTGTCCCAGCATGAGCAGGTGCAGAAGTGCCTATCCACGTACCGGGCGTAGTTCTCCCAGAAGTACCAAAGAATGGCAATATGTGCCGGTGGTATTAGAGCAGGGGCAAGCGAGCCGCAGGCGGTGGGTAGCCAAGTGATGTCCAACATGCTGCTAATACTGATACTCGTACTATGTTCTACACAAAATGATATGTTGAATGATTCGGTACTTGATGGCGCGTGGTCCTCTGCTTCCCTTCTCCTCTTCTATTGCGCTAGTTTCTCAGTTTCTCAGGATGCATCATCCTGTTTGTGCCTGAAGGAAAGAAACGAAGTTTGCACATACACACCATCTCGTATATGGACTCGTGCATGTGTATGAATATCCATGTGCCCCTCTTTTTTATTTTAATTGTGTGAGTTTATATAAGGCAATAACCCCAAGATTTTATACAAACAAATCACCATTCGGCACCATTTTTAATTCAATGATTACACAATTTATGCATTTTTTGTGCCACTAATTTTGGGTGAGGCGATTGGTGTTCGGGAGTTTATAAATATTTCGATTGGTTTTTTGGGCCAACGTGTTCTTTCGGTTTTTGCATAGTTATGAAAATAAACAAAATGGAAAAAGTGGACAAGAAAACGTATTCAGCTGTGTGCAACGCATCGGAGTGTTTTTATTGAAATGAACCCAGAGAGGGCATTTCTCACCATACTCTCATCCACTCGTATATGCCACTGCACATGCAGCGGCCACTGCAGCTGAGTGACCGAGTGAATGTCATCCACGGCGAGGATGCCCAATTTGTGTGCCCAAAAATGTTGCAATTATAAATTCATATACAGTCCGATGGTATTGGGGCGTAGGCAGGGGAACGGGCAGAGGCAAGTACACGCACGCACGCATTCCAAGCAAGACACCCAACAGCCTTTTACCCCTCCTCCTCCTCCTTCTGCTCCCGGCATTGCTGCCAAAAAGCACAGCGAGCATTCATCAGTGCGGACCGAGGCTGCCCCTCAATGACTCCGACTCGGACTGGGAGCAACAACTGCATTTGGGAAAACAATGGCCGGGACACAAGGGAGGAACGGTTTGATTTGATTTATATGTAGATATGTTGATACTCTTGTCCCTTCAGCTGATTTAAGTGATTTAAAATTTAAAGCGTGAGAAATTAAATCCATTGAAAGTTCTTCTTATAGATATACATAAATTGTATGTACATCTAGTACATATTTTGTTTCTACTCTGCGATGCAAACATCTGGTAAAACTAGTAATACCCTCTACAAGGGAAAAACAAATGTTAAAGTGTAGTTCGAGTGGTGTGTATCTGCTACCCAAATTAATTAATACATTGCCCCTGAGAGGGGAAGCTGACAGCAGGGGAAAACTATTCCGATGGGTTTTCATTTCTGATGCTGTGGCTGCTGGTTGTTACGCCAAAAAAATCAAGCCGAACCGAGTAAAACAAAGCAATCCCAAACGAATCGGAACCAAAGAGCCAACAACACTGTTGACTTCACGAGGGAAGTCAGAAATATACTGGTCAGCATTGGTACTCGTATTGAAAACTTATCTAAGCAGAAAAGAGAAATCGCTGTAGCATGCTGTATGAATTTTGAATTGCGAATACGAATAGCGTATACGAGAGCGGCACCACGCAGCACTCCCTTCCTCACTCAATCACTCGTCGAATGGAATGTTTCATTCATAAGGGTCTGGGAAATGATATGTGGATGTATGCCTTCCAAAATGTTCTTTAAAATATGTGCGAGACCAACCGATTGGTGTCTTTAGGGAGACTTTGAGTCAACGTTACTCATGCGGAAAGAAAAACTTTCAAACAGCATATAAAAAGGTTTTAACTCACCCTGTCATTTCGAATCAGTCTTATTCCACAAATTAATAAGTTGACGGTTTTTTTTTTAATCTAATAACATTCCATAGAGACTCTGAGGGCCTAAGGCGTGCTGCCTAGAAAGATATTCACCTTTATTCATACGTGCGAGTATATGTAGTGCTGAGTACACGAAATTGTATTAAATCCCACTGCTTGTGGCACACTTTGAGGATTTACAACGTTCCGCGGATAGTTGTCCCCTTTGAAATGGAGGGGGATGTACGAATTCACAGATTAACAATTACTTCAAAGGCTGTGTGCAAACAACACCTCAAGCTGTGTCGGTGGTAGCGACTGGATATGGGTGCCAGAGTGAAGGACGGTGCAAACGTCTCCAGTTGTCACTTGAGGTGCACGGCATTGTGTTCCGTCGCGCAGGCAGCCCGTCGTATGAGTAATTTGAGTGCGCCGACAGGATAATGGAGGAATGGAATGGAATCCCACCCGCCGCCAGGCTAGTCTATGCACTGCTCGAGTGCCGTTCTTTGCATGCTCATTTGTGCCCCTTTCAATTGTCATTCGGGCCCTGTTGTCTGCTTTCGCTGTTCGCTGCTCGCCGCAGTGTTCCAGACAGCCACTTTGTCCCGCAGACAGAGAGAGGGAGAGTCCTTAGAAGTGCTTGCCAGGGAAAGTACGGAAGTGCCCCAAAGATGAGCATAAATTTCTCGCGACCCTAATAGACTTGGCAATCGCAGGTGATAAACGAGTGGGCATGAACTGTGGAATGTTAACTGTCGAATGCCATAGACTTGCGTGTCTCTCGTGACTCCGTGGATACACAAACATTCACATATGGGGCACTTGTGCTGAGGCGAGTGTGCATGTCTGAGGGAGGGGGAGGGCCAACGACCACCCTGTAAACGATGTGGGCGGCTGGCTGTGCACTGAGATAAATCGCAAGCAATATTATTGCCTACATTTCGTTTGTTTAGTCAATATTTGTATGGGCATCGACGGGGCGGCAGGCTATACACATGGAATACACATCGAGTGGAGTGTAGCACGTTGAATGTTGCAGCAGTTGCTTCGTCATGGCTGTATGCTGTATGCCCGCAAATTGCCTCTAGGGCTGGGAACAGGGAAAAAAAGTGGAAAATCGAAATAAAATTAGGCAAAACGCGGGGGCACTGCACCCGTTCACCCGTACACCCGTACTCTGTGCACGGGTGTATATAAAACGATTCGAGACCGGGCATAAACGCGGGAGTTGGCTGGTCATTGGGATTGAGATTGGAATTGGGATTGGGGTTGGCTTTCCTCGGAGGATGCCGGCAGTCCCTCACACTCTTCCCCTTATTCCGCCCGGCTTTTCACTTTTCCTCGCTCACTCACTCACTCGACGGCTGCTGCACTGCCTTCGCCTATGCTCTGCCGTTGCCGACGCCTCTGTAGCCGGCAATCACTTTTCTCGATATGTGTAAAATAAATAAATCTGTTTAAACAAATTCCGTTTTGTGTGTGGATGAAATTTTTGTTGGACAACAACCGCGGGCTGGCTGGTCGGGAAAAGACGACTGAAATTATTGTTACGCTGCGTGTAGATTTTGCTTTTGCTCTGTCTTCACAGCCGGCGCCGGCGTCGTGTCTGGCCCCGTGTTTCCCCATCAGCAGAAATACTGGGCAAAGCTCTCAGCTGTTGGAGCTGGCCCTCAGAACATTTGCTATTTATATGGAGTCCACTGTAGCTGAGGAAACGCGCTCTCTCTCCCTCTCTCTCTTTCGTTCTTTCTCTCTTGTATCCCCAAGAAATATTCAAATAAAGGTAAGGACTCTGAAAGAGCAGCCTCCATATAGCAGCTACACGGATTTTGGTGGTTGCGGATCTTTGGGCGGATGTTGTTGTGTAAATTCCTCGAAACTGGTGGATTTCCTTACCTTATTATACCTTGGTTAGGGTTCTTGTGAGTGTGCGCTCTTCAAAAAAAATACAGGGAAATGCTTGCGGCTTCTTTCGGCGAAAATAAAGTATACGCCCCGTGGCGGATGATGATGCTGCTGTTTAGACGAAATCAAAAGGCAGTGGACTCATGTGGATTTACTTATTATTTACACACACACACACACACACACTTACAAATGTGCACTTACACTATTAGGTCCTGCAATACTCAGCAATTTTTTCCTTTGCCTGTCCATGCACCTGTTGGATGACCTCCCGCTGGATGAGACAAGCCGTGCGTGTTTCGTGGGACCCATGAAATCTATTTAATTACAACATTTTCCACACATTTATTAAAAGTTCTTTGCTTCAACATTACCGTAACTACAAAACATGTTTATTAAACAATTACGGAATCAAACTAATTTGGATATAAGCGCTTGCACACATAAAAACTGCTGTCAAAGTGCATTTAAATATGCTAATTAAATTGTTTTCCCCTTGCTTTCTCTCTTCCCCTCTTCCTCTCTCTTCTTTCTTTCGCGTTGTACTCTCTGCAATTCTGTTTTGAGGACCATTACAACCAACAGTACGGTACGAGTTACTGGACCCGTGCCCATTGTTCTCCGCCATGGCGAAGGAAACAGTACATAGGTTTCCACAACAATGGCTTAAATTTGTATTCTCGTAATTAAAATGCTTGGCGACTTATTCATCTTCTGTTCCGTCATTGTTCTCCGGCCCATTGTAGTTTCACTACAAACATACATAAATACATTATACATGGACAAAGTACACACACACAATTCATTACACACAAAATTATACACAGACAGTAAGTATTAGTAGGTTTATGGGGTATAAATTCGATATATGTATGTATAAGTTGCTTACTTTCAATGTTCTATCATTGTGACAGGTACAAGTACTCGGTGACTTTATCAAAGTCGCTTAGTTCGCTTACTTAGGTAGAGTGGTTACGATACATCCTACTATATCTATAAGGTACATCGGGCCGCAGGAGTAGACATTAAGACATAGAATCAATTAAATTAATTTACTTTGCGAAATCGAAAATTTATCTGTGGCTTCCTTTGAATAATTGAAAGCCCTAATGCACAACTAAGCTGCCATCACAGTGCAATTAAAATTATTCGCAATCAAGCTGATTGTAGTGACCCAACACGCAAACAATCTGAACATCCTTTTAAAATAATTTGCCCCCTCGATACTCCTTCTCGGAATGGCCCTTAGTTGCTAATGTGCAGATGTGTCCAGATGTGCGTCCGGCCTACGCAATTATCTGGATTTAATGTATGACTTTCCCTGAAATGATGTGTCGTATTCCCATCGCATTTGCCCTCAGGCCGCTGCTGCTGTCGCTGCCCCTGCCACTGCCGCGGCGACTCCTACTCGAATCGCTCTTTGTACTAATGTTGGCTCTGCACTGCTTATGGCTACCACCTAATTCCCTAGACTTACATAATTACCAGTTCCTATCGCACATGCTGTACTTCGACTATTGTACTCGGATTCCCTCAAAACATTCCGTAAGCTCATTAAATACGAGTGAGTATGTTTGCTATCACTTTCTTCAGTTGCTGTTGCTGTCGCTATCGTAATAGCTTCTCCTCCTTGACCAAGAAGCATTTCATAACACACAACACAATGGCCAAGAGTTCCATTTTCATTTCCATCCATTTCCGTTTCATTTTCTGTTCGCTTTCATTATGGGGCGAGACGACGCGTTGTGCGAATCCCTGGCATGGCATGGAATCCATTGCAGTGACCGAACAAAGCATTTCGCTCTTCTTTTGCGGCAAAGAGATTCTCATGCCGCTTTCGAGCCGGGTCCCTAGTGTGTGTGTATGCATGACAAATTTCGCAAATGACTAAGGATTACGCGGATTCGATGTTTAATTGATTGCGCCACAAACCCATCTATCCGATCTTCCAGGATGGGTGACGACTCACTTTGGTCTCCTTTTAAAACTTACTCTGCTCCATGCCGCTGTACGAGTTGTTCAACTCAACAGCCACAACGACACTTTCCTCGTTTTCCTCCGTCTCCTCGGGCACCATCATCAGGTTGTTGTTCATCTGGTAGGCCTCCACCCGGTGGTCTGCGTCGGCGGGTGGACGCAACCGTCGGTTGAACGAGGACCGGGAGCGCGTCATGTAGGAGGATCGCGTGGTGGAGACCCGCCTTAGTACGCCGCGTCCAAAGAAGAGCATGCGGACCTCGACACGGAATCTGGGATGCGTGGCGGCATACAGGTACGGATCGACGCAGGCGGCTGTCTTGCAGAAGAGCGCCGGGATCATGGAGCCGAGCGGCGTGATGTGGCGCTCCTGGCCGAACACCCCCATCATGGCTACGATGGCGTAGGGCGACCAGGCCAAGAACCACAGTCCGATGATGGCAGCCACGATGAAGGCCAGCTTCTGCTCCGTCTTGGCCTTGTCCTTGTTCGATTGGATGCGGCTCGCCGTGAACACCACCTTGAGGATGTAGAAGTAGGAGTACACGATGGTGGTTAGCGGTACGCAGTAAGCGGCCACGAAGAAGAGCGCCATGAAGATGCGCGCCGGAGTCTCCTTGTTCAGGTAATCGAAGCTGCAGGTGGTCAGGAATCCTTCGGGCACGTAAACGGACAGCCCGATATCCAAGGCGGGCATCACGGCGAACAGGAAGCTATAGGACCAGATAAGGAAGATAATCAGGTAGGAACGAAGTCGCGAGCAGCGGCGCAGGGGCTGAAGCGGATGCACCACCACGTTGTACCGGTCCAGGGCAATGGCCGTGAGAGTACCGATGGCGCAGGTGCCACTGAGACCTCCCACAAACCCGTAGATGCGGCAGGCTAAGTGTAAAGTTGGTTAAAGGAGGCACAATCTCCGGCCTGCAGTCACACTCACCTGCATCGCCCAGCGCCGGCCCCTCCTTGATGTTGTTGTAGATGGCAATGGGACACTTGACGAGCATCAGAAAGTCGCAAATGGCCAGATTCATCACCAGAATGTTGGCCGGTGTCCGAAGCGATTTGCGGTTTGTGAACATGAAGATGACGAATGCGTTTCCCACGCACCCCACCACCGAGATAAGGCAGTAGAGGGCGGCCATGAGGTAGAAAGTGCTGGATTTCGGCGGTTCGAATTGCAGCCAGAAGGGGTTCACTCTGGCAATGTAACTCAGATCGTACTTATCGCGATAGTGTATATAGCCGGGATACGAACTGGAATTAATCAAAGGATTTTTGCCATGGCAAATATTCAAAGTTTTTCATAAGAATGAGTTGATGAATCAGTCGCTTACCTCAGTACCGTGGATACATTGTCATTCAGCTCGGGTTTGTCTGGGACCTTTCCCACAGTTTCCGCTGGGGAGGCTGTGGATGCCGTCGTTGCTGCTGCCGCCGAGCTCGTAGTGGCGGCAACCAGAGATGCATTGGGGCTGGTGCTGTTGTTGGCCAGCATCTCGGAGAGGGACAGGGCGCTGGTCAGCCAGAGGCTGCTGCCAGCTGCCTCAGTTGTCAGGGTGGGCAGCGCTGACATGAGGGCCTCCATGACCATGGCGGACGGTTTTCCTTTGCCAAATTTACGGGTTTCTCCCAATTCAAACTGGAGCCGGTACGTGCAGGGCTGCGTGTGCCCGATGTGCCTCAAAGGTGAGCTCCTCTCGGACGCTGGGATGGCGCTTATTTACTTGTCGGCGCTCCAATTACCGAATTTGGTAAAGCTGCCCCGTGTTGCAGCTCCCTGGCTGTTCTCATTGGTGGTGCATCATGGCGGATGTGGCGGTCACGAAGCATTTTCAAGGTGCACAGGAAAGGATACAGACAAAGCCACGACGGGCTTGTTTCAATTAGCTCTTAGCCAGGGGATGGCTGAAATAGAACAGATAAAAGCGAAGTTTCTCTTAATCGATGCTCTTCGTTTGATTGGTAGTAGTTAGTTTTTTCAGCATCAATTTAATCAAATTTTAGAGGTTTAGGACTTCGATTCAGCTCTTCCTTTGTCTTTTCTTAAAAAGTTAAACCTGTGGCCTTAGCAAACTTTAGGACAAATAAAATTAGATACCCGTCGCTCGAATTATCTTCATTCCGGTAAAGTTATAAGTAATGGGAAATGGCGTAAAAGATCTGAACATTTTATTTTTAATAAAATGGAATGAATATGGTCATCCATACGCCCAATCCGAATCCGTCAACTATTCGGAGAGTTAAAGTGAATGTAATCTATATGTCAATACAAATAGAACAATCCTAGATGCTGTCAGCGCTTTGGTTGTGCAAAAAAATAACTATATCTGCGGCCATCACCCTAGTCCCCATTAATGATTTTTTTCATCTTCCATCTTTTCATCTTTTCAACGATTTCCGGGCACAAAGATCCAATTGCTTACCTAAACTTTGCTTCAACTTTTGTCGGTCAATCAGGGCAAGAGCAGCAGATGGGGCCGGGCCATCGATGAAAAATTTCTTAAAATCAGCGTGAAACCAATAACATTGTGTTGGTTTTGCTGGAGGGAGGTGAAAAAGAATTCCACACTTAAATGAGAAAACATTTACTTTCCTTAAACGGCATATTAAATGTTTTTTATGCAACAAAATGCACAAAAAGCGAGCTACGAATTGGATTTAAATTTAATTTTTCATATCCATATATTCATATATTAAAACACTTGAAATCTGAAAAAAATATTTTCAACGTAATTCCAATAATTATGTGGCACATGCGCAACGTCTCGCAAAGGTCTAAACGCGTTACTGTTTTGGCAAAAACTGAACACACAACCAGGGACAGTTAGGACAAGTTAGTCTAAGACATATCCGTATCCGAAATAAATTAACACTTGCATCGAGCCCAAGTAATGCGGCTGAGCTGAGTAGGGTCCGGACAGGCAGGCAGACAGGTATGCATCTGACCTGATGATTACTGATTATGCAAATCCTGGGAAGCCTTGTTAATTAGGGCAACTTAATTGCTTATTAAATAACTGGAAGCCGGCCACGTGAGACCAGCAGACCCCATGAACTTGAGGTTTTGCCGCAAGTGCTCTTCAACTGAAACTCAAACACGAACATCTCAGAGTCAACCTCCTTCGCGGGGTCTCACCCAGAACCAAAACTAAATAGAACTAGAGGCGGAGTCAGAGCCAGAGTCAGAGCACTTGGCAGCCGCAGTCGAGGCCAAAGACAAATTCCGTGAACAAAAGTTTTTCCAGAAGCAGCAGCTGGAGAAGAACAACTTCAGCTTTCAGTCAACAGAGCAGAGAAACTGCACAATGAGTACAACAACTACAAGTGACCATGTACCGGGTCCTTCCGCTACAGCGTCTGCTTATTATATGAGTATTATTATATTTACAACTCTTGACGGCTCTGCCTCTTGTGGAAGATCTCGCTGGAAAATAGTTCCGCTTTTGTAAACGGCGAGGTATTGGCCTGAATGCGGCTGTGGCTCTGCGTGCTGTTGGTCCTTTATGCCATTTAATTGGTACTAATTGGCCAATTGAAATTTGTCATAGCTCTCGCTTTCTCTGCGCGCACAAAGGACACCAGTTCTGGTTTTTGCTCTCAAAACTTTTGGCCTTTGTTCTGGGTCAATGTGGAATACATTTTGGTGCAAATCGAAATGAAACCGTATTGGACCATTTATTGAAATTCTGTGGCGACTAGCAGTGGCAATGGTACGGCAAATGCGTTCCCATCGCCACAAATGTTGCAATGTGTGTTGAGCGGTGATGTCTGGAAGCATGTGGCAATCAAGCAGCTTAGGACGGCAGTCAGTTCATTTGATCTGTGACCAAGCTGGGGCCGTCTGCTCGTTAAATGTTCTATGTGCCACATTTCAAAAGGTAGTACTCTGCTGCAGTCAATTTTCAAGAAATTGTCCAAACAATGTGTGCGTCTCAAGCACTAACTGCAGCTCCCTCCTTTCCTATTATATGAGGTCCACGAAGATTTAGGAAAGAAACTTCGCACTTTTACAACTTTGGGTATTTCAAAAAACTTTTATACCCGGCACTCAGTACTACATCTGCACCTTAGCGGTGTTTTGTCAAATTTAACATTTTTTCTTCATCTGTCATCTACATCTATAACACTTCTCACACGAACACGCTCCGTAAGCTCGCCGCCCTTCCCTAGACCCACACACTGCAGACTCGCGGCAGAAGCAGAGGCCACACTGCTAGAAGCAGAGTGTGAATGAGAGAGTGTAGCCATTGCAAATGAATTTCTTCATTGTGGCTATTATAGTGATCCAATTGGATCCCAATGTGGTGATCTGATAGATATGGTCATTCCCTACGGAATGGCGTAGTTTCTTTTATCTTCGAAATTGTAGGTTTGGGAGGTTTTCGCCCTTTAGCGGGGGCGGAAGGGGCGTGGCTCATTTTTGAAATACACTTGTAACAGTGTGAGCATACAGCAGTCCGGAGCCAAAATTTGGTGGCTCTAGCTCTTATAGTCTCTGAGAACTAGCTGACAAACAAGACGGACGGACGGACAGACAGACATTGCTCTATCGACTCGGCTATTGAAGCTGATCAAGAATATATATACTTTATGGGGTCGGAAACGTTTCCTTCTGTGCGTTACATATAACCGTTGTTCGCACAAATACAATATACCCTATTTACTCTTCGAGTACCGAGTATAAATAGATGCTGACTGACTGTCATCCGCGTTTGGAAGCTATCATAAGTAGATTAATCAAATTGTCAAACAACAATCGCTTCGGGCAGTCCATGAAACGTGATTGATGCTGCCCCCAGCCTCTGCCCCAAAAGCTTCAAAGAAAGGGAACCTGCCTCATCCTCTTCAAAGACTGTGCCCCTCCCCTAAAGTCTTCAAAGGAATAAAATCATGTGAGCAACCAGAGCAACCTTGTTAGGCGACAACATGTCTAACTAGGTAGACCATCAGCCCTAGTCTGTTTTTTTTTCCTTTTGTGGGAACTGACGAGACTTGTTAGTGCACGCTTGACATTCACTCGATTAGCGACGAGTCGAGTCGAGTCGTGTCGGGTCGGGTCGAGTCCTTTCAAAGTATCTGCACTGTCCTCTCAATGGGCCAGGCCTTCACATAAGTGTTATCCATTGCCTGTGTTAGGCTCTGCGTGGCCATTGGAGCGGGCTGAGGTACACGGTGGCTCTTTTATATGGGTATTACTGGTCCTCCAATTGAATTTGTACATTTGGTAGGAGCACCAGGAGCGGGATTTGGCTGGCGAATGCAAATGCATTTTATACTTTATTTTTCCTGTGCAATTTCATATGCACTCAAAATTTAATAACTAGTGGAAATGGTTTGATATGTTCCCTTCTCTCATCTGCCGGAGAACTGTGGCCTGTGGATGGCGGATGTTGGATGGGTGGGGAGCAAATTATCCGGCCACTTTCAGAGACGCAAATCGCTGAGTGCGGTCGCAAAAGAGCAAGCAACAATAATTTATTTAAATTAAGCTTCAATTTCTTCTGGTGACAGTGGTGGCTTCTCCTTTGCAGCTCTTTCGGCTGATGTTACCGCCAGTGCAAACAGCTGCCATGACAATTGAATTGCGGAAAATGCTTGTCGGGGGACGGCGAAATGGTTGCCAGGATAAAAAGCATTTAGAGGTTGCTTGGAGCGCCATAATGCACAATGCAGATGAGTGGGAATCACTTTACTAAATTGTGCCCATTGCTGCATAGACATCATTATACTTTGTTCAAGCTTGGTGCTTGGGTATGGGCATTTTCCAGCTCTAGATACTTTAAATGTTGGGTTGGGTGCGATATACATATATGTAATAATGTGCATACAAATGTATGTATTTGCCTAAATTGCCATTAAAAGTAAGCAATTTCTTTCGATCCGAAACCATACGACTAGAAGGTCTGTTGCGTTTATTTTTATTATTCTTTCTTATTACATTTCTTAAGTCAATTATCGAGAAGGAAAAAGCACTTGAATTGGTTTCATTGAATTGATAATAACAAGCACTTTACCATAAAAGATAATAGCTTTCAATTCACTTATGTACTACCAATCAAAAACTTTGCGACACATTGTCAATGCACCGTTTTACGTATCTAATGCAAACATCCACAAAGATCTGAATATTCCAACAATTAAAGAAGAAATAAAGAAAACTAGTAAGAAATACATCGACAGACTCCACAACCACGAAAATAATGTAGCCTTAAGTCTATTAGACAATAGCCTAACAGTAAGAAGACTGAAAAGATACCACATTCTCGATATCCCTGATAGATAAATCCAACAAACTGAAAAGATGTTATATATAATAGCAGGGCTCATTGGAAAACTGCTATTTCTGTTAATTGAATATTAATTATACAATTTACTTATTGTTTAAACAAACAGATTGTAAATATAAAGAAAGAGAAAAAAAAAAAAAAAAANCTAACAGTAAGAAGACTGAAAAGATACCACATTCTCGATATCCCTGATAGATAAATCCAACAAACTGAAAAGATGTTATATATAATAGCAGGGCTCATTGGAAAACTGCTATTTCTGTTAATTGAATATTAATTATACAATTTACTTATTGTTTAAACAAACAGATTGTAAATATAAAGAAAGAGAAACAAAAAAAACGTATGTACATACATACATATGTATGTATGCATGTGGCTGATGATTCCCATACACATATGTACATACATACAATAAATATGGATACAGCGATACATAACCATAATCGCCGTCTCTTAAATCAAGGGGGACAACCCTCACAGAAATTAGTGGTTCAATAAATGCACATTAATATTCTACACTAATTAGCCAATTGTTACTTTGTTGATATAATTAATTAAATATTTTTAGTTAAATTAATAAATTTTTAAACTTTAATGTTATATTTGTAA